ATTCTGGAAATGGGTAGGACCCAAACAAGAGCAGCATTAATGACAGTTTCAAGTTTCTCTAAGAATATGAGGTTTGGTTTCATAGGATCCTCACAAAACCAAAGGAAAAAAGCTCCAAAGCTCACTCTTCTTTCTTTGTCCATAAGTCAAAGCAATCAACTGCTCTGCTATGCTTTGATTCGTTTCTTTGGATTCAGCGCTCTGTTTTGAAGGTAACATCTCTGTCAAACTTCTTTCAGGTATCTACCCGTCTTTCTTTATTGGATTCAGCACTCTGATTGAAGATATATGTCTTAACTAATTAAGCTACGCTTAAAATAACCTTATATCCCTTTAATTGCCTTCACCTTTTTGGTTTTTGTTTTTAGTCCCATATCTCTATTCCCTTTTGCCTATGGGTTTGGTCGATGGCGGGTGGAAGGGCCCTTGCTCAACGGATAAAAGTTACTAACGGGAGCTGCTGATTATGCTCTGCCAATGTATATGAGATCTCAATCAATACGATATGCCTCAGGAAAGTCTAAGATCAAGAATTTACAGATCATTTATAACTTGTAACGATCCGAAAGGCATAGTTGATAAAAGCAGTATCAGAATAAAGAAAGTTGTTCTATCAGAAATGGATAAGAAAACCAAAAGCCGGACAGCTAGGAAGAACTTTTACGAATTTTCGGACTGTAAGTTACCAAGAGAGGAAACAACCATCAAAGAAGTTGTGGATGAATTGAGCAGTTCATCATCATCACAACTCATGGAAGTGTCCAGAGAAGCTCAGAAGCTGAACCGGACAATTGTTTTGTGGTCCAATGGTATGAAATATAATAGCCAATCTGAACAAATTGCAAGAGATTTGTTTGAAGGAGCTATTGATTTGCAGCAGTCCTTGGTCATTCTAGGGAAATTGCAGGAAACTTCAAGGTACATGACTCAGGTGAAGAAAAATGAATGCATAGAAAAGAGGACAAGTGGAAACATGGGCATGGAGAGAACATGTTTCAACCGAAATGAACTTCATAAACCTCGGCTTTCGGCTGATTATTCTTATGGAGATGGTGCTAAGGAACTCAAGAAGACGATCCGAGATCGCCTTGCTAGACAACTCTTATTTTCAAATACAACGAATATGGCCGAACGAATCGGTTTTCCTGAAAGTGGTATGGAAAACTCAGCTTCAGATTTTGCATCCACAAGCTCTGGACAATCTTCAATGGTGTACAACACTGCTCGAAATCCCACAAAGAAGGGTCGTGGAAAAAATCTGATAGCAAAGCGAAAGGATCTAGAACTTCAACCAAAGCAAATGCATGAAACTTTAGGCAGACATTTACCTAGTGAAAAGATTTTAGATCTCCAAAGGTCTAAGTTTAGCAATGAAATGGTCGAGACAAAGAAGTCGAAGGCAGTTACACACAAGATAGGGAAGAGAACCACAGAATCAAATCTTGACACTCATCAATTCAAAGGCATTCTTAAGCATTCTGCAAAGGAAGTGGATGACTATTTCAATTATTCCAGCTACAGGCATTCAAGAGAAGAGTTAACCCATACTGCCCCGCCAATTGTACTTCTAAAACCTCTTCGTGTTTCACAAGCTGAATGGGAGGAAAGACAAGCACGGGTATTCGAGGAAGACGAAGCTTTGAACAAAAAAAAGTTCATGAAACTGAAGATGAAAGAAAAGCATCCTCAGCAAAGGAATAGCAATAAGGCAGAAGTATTAAGTTCCAAAAGAGTGCTTGGGTCAATAGGGGCAGAAGAGACTGCAATCTCAAGGATAAATCACAGAAAAGAAGCTCAAAACCCAAAAGAACATAATAGGAATCCAAAAGAATGTATCAATGTCATCAAGCCCAAAAAAAGGATTTCACATATTCCACTCGATCAAAATCGCCCGAGGAAAGAAGCAATTGATAGGAAAGTTCTTGAATCACAGAAAGACATTGTAGCTAGAAAAAATCCACTTTCGCAAGCTAAGATTGTACCAAAGTTTCAAGATCAAGTGCATGGATCCCTTGGCAAACTTCAACGTAAACTAAATGCTACGAGGGAACATGTCCCTCGGGACTCAACTCCTACATCAAACACTGCCTTTGAGTGCAGCCGATTCAGCACGAATCAAGCAATTGCAGAAAAGGTCATCAACGAGGTTTCGGTACAGAAACCAGAGGTAAGTCCAAAAACTATTTATAGAGTTTCTTATATTCCCATGCTTTCATATGCCTTTTCCTGTTTCCTGTTCTTATTTTGGAAGAAGGTACTGCAGCATGAATGCAGAAATTGATAAGTTACAAGCTCGGAAAATTTGATTGGAGATGAGTACGAGAATTTCGGCATGGGAAATCAAAACTAATGAAAATTTCTTTCTGCAGGCCATTAACTTTGGTAGCAAAAGCAATGTTAAGAAGCCTGATAAAACATATTCTCCAGCCTCTTTACCAAATATGAAGGAACAAGGCGGTAGCTCCAGACATCAAACATGTGGTAAATCTCCTAAGTAATATAACTAGAACAGTCAGAGCAGAAAACTCATAGTTTGCTATGATTACAAATGCAAGTCAAACTAAGATCTGCATTAAAATCTCAGAATATTTTAGTTTATATGAACTTAAAGCATTTAGGATATGAAAATTTCTGGTTTCAAAATGATCCAAAAGTATCTACAATTACAGTAACTAATAAATGTCATCGAAATTCGCATGGAAAAAACTCAATGGGCTTATTGATAGAACTTAGATAATCTAGAACTAGCATAACTAATATTGAGAGTAGAAATATTATATGTCTAGAGATATATAAACATCATAATGTAACATTTTGATCCTGTGTCATCCGAAATAAATTCTAATAATGCATACAACTTGCAACATTTATTGTTTTTGTTAATAATAGAGGGAAGAAAGTCTTTATTGATGCAGGAATAAGACAACAAATAATTATGTCGATGACACAGAAAGTATAATCATCCGAATTTTCAGTCAACAACATATAATTGAGGCTTCAATTCTAAATCAAGAAGGATGAAGTTCTTCAGTCCTATCTAGATATGTTTAATCAGCTGCTGTTCTTCTGTCTATTCTCAGTATCTGAGACGTGGTATAATTTTACGCATGCTTTCTTTGTTGAGATCAAAATTTTCATGAATTCTTTCCACGTACAGAGTACAGTAGTGATAGCCAAAGTTCTCTCATTCACGCATGCTGCACAACAGAAAGCTCGAAGTACATAGACAATGAAAGATCAGTTACCAAACCTGGAACTACACCGAAATGTCCGATGTCGAGCAATCCGTCGCCTTCCAATCGCGCGAATGAGCTCTTCCGTCTTAATGCTAATGGTATGAACATTCTGCATTAATTTTGCAACCATAAACTTGCTCTGACTAGTTTTATTTCGCCTGACCAACAAATTAAAAAATCAATGAAGATTAGTCGGTTGTTTGCTTACATCAAATGCAGGGAGATCGAGATTGTGGATCTCGCCGGAGGAATCGCCGCCGACTGCCAGTGACGGCATGGAATCTTTAAGAAATTACAGAAAAATCAATGGAGTGACAAACGGAATTTTAGGCTTGCGCTGGTGGTGGCCGATTCGAGAATCAATGAATGAGGCAGAAGATGTTGTTGAAGATGTGGAAGAGAGGATATTGGTTGGATTGATTCAGGAGGTCTTCGCCTGATCAATTGTTCTTCATCTTCCATTTTTTTTTTTTCAATTTTGAGATACTTATATCAAATTATATAATAAAATGTTGTATTTTTTTTTGCCCCTATTTATTTTAATATTTAATGTTAAAATCTTTATTACATATTTTTGAACAAATTGTCAGTGGTTTAGTCACTTTTATTAGGGGAGGGTTTCATATATTTGTTATCCTCTCCAACAAATATCGGATCTCACAATCCACTCCATTGGGCCCAACGTCTTCTTTGGCACACTGCAATGAATGTTTCATTCTCCTCTCCAATCGGTGTAGGACCTCACAATCCACTCTTTTGGGGCAGCGTCCTCGCTGGCATATCGCTCGGTATCTAACTCTGATACCATTTATAATAGCCCAAGCTCACTGTTAGCAGATATTGCATGTTTTAGCTCGTTACGTATCGCCGTCAACCTCACAATTTTAAAACATGTCTGTGAGGAAGAGATTTTCACACCCTTATAAAAAATGTTTCGTTTCCCTCTCCAACTAATGTGAGATCTAACACTATTAGGCACATGAAATTCTAGGTAAGTGTTCACTATGGCTCGAATCCATTATTTTTAAGTCCTTTATTTTTTTATATGTTCGTATTTTACCATTCGGTCAATCTATGTGGTTCGGGACAGTCAATTATTAAATATCGAGCAGTGTAGACTCATTCTACTAAAACACGCCTCTACTCGAGTATTTTCAAGCTGATGGGTTCGTGACATGACTTAATCTCTTTGGTTTTCTATTAGCTTACGTAACTATAAGGTAGAATTCAAGTCGATACGGTCCCTTTAAGAAGAGTGTAATACCCCTACTAAAAGGCGAGTGTTGGAATGAGAAGGCTCCCGAGATGGATATCTACGGATGATCCGATCAGTCTCATGATGAAAGAACTGGACAATTCTATTTGGGATGGGACAGCAACATATTGGACTATTCAATTAGTTAAAGATTTGAATAGTAACTTTATTTTTTGAAGGATCTTGTTTATTGAATTGTGAGTATGTTTTATTTATTTATTATTAACTTATTAATTATTTTTTAAAATTTAAATATGAGGAAATATTAGATTCACCTGAGTTAAAAGGTTTAAAATTGAAATTAAAAAATAGTTTTATTTATTAAATTTCACTAATATTTGTTTTATTTTATTATTTTTGGAAAATGGAGGTTGAAATCAAGGGTGTACAGGTGGAGACATCTCATTTGTAAACTGCAATATTGATAAATATTGATATTTATTTAGAAAGAAAATGGATTTAATTTAATTTAATTTAAGCTATTTTCTTTTCTTCAAAGGAGGAGAGAAATTAATTGACAGCTGACACAAACTACTTCTCGACAGCTGAATTCTGTTCCCAAACATCAACAACTGAGCAAATTTCAAATCCAGCAATGCCAATTCGTTCTTCCATCAAGGATTTTTCCACTGTTTGTTTCAATTTGATTCAATTCTTGAATCCCACTTTCCACTTCATTCATTCAATTTGATTCCAAGTTTCGAATCCGAAAAAGCTACAGGATTAACAAGCAACCAATATTGTGGAAGAAGATCTCGAAAAGTTCTTGTCCATCTGCAAATTTCCTTTCTGTAGCTTAATCTCCTGTTTTGACACTGTTCATAGCGCTTTTTTGGAGGGGAATAGGGTTAGGGTTTCTGAAAATAAGGGTGTTGCTCTGCTAGTGTGGTGGTCATGGATGAAGAGAAATCGGCTATTGCCATGTCGAGCAGAGATCGGGAGCTTCTCATTCCGGTTGCGGAGTCCGCCATTGATGAGTCATCCTCAAAACCTTCGTCATCCTCGTCATCGTCTCATCATTCTGGCAGAGAGGTATGATTTTGGCTCGCTTTGCTTTGATTATAACTGGTGATTTGATTCGCCGAGAACGTTGAGTCTATGATTCTGTAAATTTTCTGTGGATTTTCTAGTGTCAGAGTGAAGCATATGCATGCTTTTTCACACAATTTTCCGGTCGTACTAATTCTTGACCGATTCAATTAAGAATTTGGTGTATTTTTCTTGCCCTAGAACCTGGTTTGGGGAATTTGATTGATGTTGGTTCTGTTTGAATTCGTAGCAGCAATTGAATATTTGAAATTAACATTAGCTTTCAGCATGTTCTTCGTAATTGGAATATTCATTAGGCCAATTTGTGTATATTAGATTTTATGCTTTCTCGTGGCAATGGATTTTCCTTTCTTATAATCTTCCTGACCAGTCTATTTAATATTGCTTTTAGACATTTTACAAGGTTGTTAGAAGCTGGGCCTCAAAGAAGTTCATGACTGGATGGTGAGCTCTTCTTTCTCTTTGATCGATTTCATGTTCGGTATCTCGATATGTATTGAACAGGATCATCCCATGTATTGCATACATTTCGACTGTCTGTTAGATATCCTTGAAACCAGTTTTCTGGGCATGTCATTTCATTGTTTTTATACCTCTGTCATAACTCACAGCTATAGCATTATGATGGTATGCAGCCATAATATCAGTCGATGAACGTAATCGTCTCAGTATAAATTTATTTTACTAATTTTTCATGTACGTTACCTGGTTTTTAACCTAACTAATATTCCTACTATTTGGTTGTTGGTTGATTCTTTAAACAATTTAATGCCTTAGAAATTAGATTTTGGTACTATTTAGTTTATGCTTTCCAAATTTCTGGTTACAAGTTATAGTATACTGTGCTTTAGGAGTCGATCAAGTGTAATGATACTCCTTTGAATAATTGAAGGCATAAGAGGGAGGATCTCCATGTTTCTGGAAAGTCTCTGGAAAGTCATAACATTTAGAATGCATTATGTGAGATTCCACGTTGGTTGGGGAGGAGAACTAAGCATTATTTATAAGGGTGTGAAATTTCTCCCTAGCAGATGCGTTTTTTTTTAAAAACCTTGAGGGGAAGCCCAAAGAAGACAATATCTGCTAGCGGAGGACTTGGGCCGTTACATTGGTATCTAAGCCAGACACCAGACAATGTGCCAGCGATGAGGCTAAGCTCTGAAGGGGGGTGGACACATGGTGATGTGCCAACACCCGAAGGGGGTGGATTGGGGGGTCCCACATCTCTTGGAGAAGGGAACGAGTGTCAGCGAAGATGCTTGGCCCTGAAAGAGTGTGGATTATGAGATCTCACATCGGTTGGGGAGGAGAATGAAGTATTCTTTATAAGGGTGTGGAAACCTCTCCCTAGCAGACACGTTTTAAAAACCTTGAGGGGAAACCCGAATGGAAAAGCTCCAAGAGGACAATATCTGCTAACGGTGGACTTGGGCTATTACACATTATGTGCTGGTTAGTGGAGAGAACATGAGCCATTTCTCCTTAATTCCCTCTTTGCCTTATCTCAATTGGCAGTGCAAATAATATCTGCCTTTCGACAATCTTAATGCCCTGTAGAGGTTTACCTTGTTTATTGTTTATTAACTAATGTTACCTTAAGGCTTATAATAAATGTTTTAGTGGTGCGCTGTTTAATGACTAAAGTGTGTCTATAGACATTGAATGATTGGTTAGTTCTATTACTAATTCGTTGATTAAATTTTATGCCAAAATCTTGCTCTTGATAATGGTAGTGGAAATGAATGGTCATTTCTAGTACTGCTTTAGTTTCTAGTTATTGTTTTCTTGCGATTTCAACTAATCATGCCTAGTTCCAACTTCTTTCCACTCTGTAGTTTAAATATTGTTGTATTCTACTGTTTATTTCTGCATGAAATTTGCTACACTGTTCTATAACAAAATGCTTTCTGCAGTGTTATCCTGTTCCCCTTAGCAATTACGTTCTATGTAACGTGGTGGTTTATTCGTTTTGTGGATGGATTCTTCTCTCCAATCTATGCACATCTTGGAATTAATATCTTTGGTAAGCCATTATTTCATCTTTTCTTCTCCTATTTTCCTCTGATATTTATTTTACATGTTATGTACACTAACTTGTGGTGGGTTGCACTTCATGTCTGGAGATTTTCCCTTGCTGGTTTCCTTCCTCGCACACCGTATAGGATAATTAGTGCAGTCCATTTGTCACATTGTGCTTGACAGATTAGATTCTTACCTTGCTGATTGACTATGGTTATTTGGTTAATCTTGCAAATATTCCTAACAAGTAACTACTACTCTTGAGATGTACTCTGCTGATAGCCTTGGTGTTAAGAGTTTGGAATGTTTTGAGATGTTTTGAGATGTTTTTCAAGGTCCTAGGTTCAAGCCCCTCTGTAAAAAGCTTAATTTAAAACCTTTGTTGTCTATTGGAGCTAATCTTCTAGTGGGCAAAGCCTTTATGGAAATGGGTCAGGGCAGATTATGAGCACAATAACAGGAGTGAGCCCCCAACTCCCTAATGATTCGAAAACCGTGTTAAGATGTTAGGAATTAAGCTGAATTTTTGTATCAGATACATCTCAGGAGATGACTGCGATCCTTGACCCTTCTCGTTCGCAAAAAATCACAAATTGACATAATATTTAAGATAAGTTGATGGATTCATGAACATGTAAAATGACTGCTTTCTGATTCTTTCACGTTTTCATGAATGATAGGACTTGATCTCCTCGAGACACGCCTCATTAGTATTATGTGTTTCTTTTGATTCAAGTTGTCTTTACCGTGTTTTTTTCGCTTTTCATATCTTGAATAGGTCTTGGATTTGTGACTTCCATTACATTCATCTTCGTGGTTGGTGTGTTCATGTCATCTTGGTTGGGAGCATCTGTCCTTGGTCTTGGGGAGTGGTTTATCAAGAGGATGCCATTTGTCCGTCATATCTACAATGCTTCTAAGCAAATTAGTTCTGCAATATCATCTGGTGGGTCCTGATTATTTTTCATTGCTCTTAGTTGGTTGCTTGGGTTCTGTTAGCTAATTATTTTATTTTTACTATCAGACCAAAACTCACAGGCCTTCAAGGAAGTAGCTATCATAAGACATCCTCGTATCGGTGAATATGCGTTTGGGTTCATCACTTCGGCCGTAGTCCTCCAGGTAAATTGAGAGCTACTCCGACACTTTGTAGGTTGAATCAATTAAAGCTATAAACTTTCGTAAGTCGATCAATTTAGATCTTTTGTTAGTGATTTATAACTATGTTGGCTTGATTCCATTCAAAGTTACTCAAAATCTCTCTCGTTTTTTTTTTCAATGAAAGCTCGGTTTCTCACCTAAATAGAATTAGTGTTATCCCAACATTTGACTGAAGTAATGAGAAAAGTTATCTACTTGATATCATCATTCCCTTTAATATAGTGTTGATCTCTAAATTTAAAGGACTCTCATTCACTAATTGACATGGTTATGAGTTTGGAGTTTTAATTGATTCAACTTGCAAAATTTATAGACATAAATTGATTATCTGGGAGCTTCTTGAGCAGCCATGCTGATTTGCTTACCCTTCCCATCTGAGTATTTTACTTGACTATCTGACCCCATCTTTCTTGTGGCAGAGCTATTCTGGGGAGGAAGAGCTATGCTGTGTCTATGTCCCCACAAATCATCTCTATATCGGCGACATTTTTCTCGTTCATACCAAGGATGTTATTAGACCAAATTTATCAGTTCGAGAAGGAATTGGTGAGGTTTTTTTTTTTTGTTTTTCTTTCTCACTTATTGCATAAATTGCCCAATTAGAAATGCTACCAGTGTCGTGCCTCGTAACTGAACTGGACCGTGACTTCCAAGACTTCGTAAAGTTGGCACTCTCAATTACATCGTAGTTCAATGTTTGTGAGATCCCAACATCGGTTGTGGAGGAGAACGAAACATTCTTTATAAGGGTGTGGAAACCTCTCCTTAGTAGATGCGTTTTAAAAACCTCGAGGGGAAGCCCGAAAGGGAAACCCAAAGAGGACAATATCTGCTAGCGGTAGGCTTGAGTTGTTACAAATAGTATCAGAGCTAGACACCGGGTGATGCGCCAGCGAGGAGGTTGAGCCCCGGAGAGGGGGGTGGTCACGGGCGGTGTGTTAGCAAGGACGCTGGACTCCGAAGGGGGGTGGATTGTCAGATCCCACATCGGTTGGGGAGGAGAACAAAACATTCTTTATAAGGGTGTGGAAACCTCTCCTTAGTAGATGCGTTTTAAAAACTTTGAGGGGAAGCCCGAAAGGGAAAGCTCAAAGAGGACAATATCTATTAGCGGCGAGCTTGGGGTTAGGCTGATACAATGTTGTTATTGTGTGGCCCGAGCAAGTTCTCTTAGACATAGTATTGGCATAGGTTAGACAAGTGATTGCTGCAATAAAATTGACATATTGATGGAAAAAGAAAGCTGAAATGCTATTTTTATGTGGTGGACCATATTCTCACTGGAGATCAATCATAAATTCTTCATTATTTTTGCGATTTCATTGCAGAAATCGTCGTCTCTGGAGGAATGTCGATGCCCCAGATACTTTCGACGATAAACTCGGAGATTGTTCCCTAGACAGAAGTAGACTTAAGAGAAGCTAAAAAAGGGGATGCTAGGTGCAGCACTTGTTTATGTTCTTCTTCGCCTTCGGATTGGAACGGGGCACGCTGCAACGATCATCATCGGGGTAAGTGCAAGGCCGAGATTGTTGCATCCCAGTGGTTGGTTTCTTTGCAGTGTGATTTGTGAACTGAGTTGTGTTGTTAGTTTATATCATTCTGATAGTTCAATATATATAGTTCAGTTTATATGATGTGGTGTTTGGGACTTTTGGAGGGTTGGATTACTTTATCCTTGGTTACTCTTTTACCACTAAAATCACTTCATTTATATATTCATTCATGAAATAGTTGTACAGTCCATCTGAACGATTCATAAAAATTTCATTCTTAACATAATTTCTTGTTCATTTTATGTGTTGGGCTTTGCTTCTTGCTTCTTTTACCTGCTATATATATATATGTGTGTGTATATATATATATATATATTCACTTATGAAATTCCAATTTTTAAAAAATTGTACAAGAAAAAGGGGAGGCAATTTTAAGCATATTGGATGGTAAAAGAAAAAAAAAAAGAATTTTAAAATATTGTACAAACTTGGAATTTGAACTAAATTTTGAAAAGAACAAAATTTAGTCCTAAAAGGATTATCGTTCAATTTAAACAATTTCCAATTTTAAAAGTTTCCCTTTTTATTCAATTTGAACTATAACTGGAAATGTTAAATTAACATTAGAGAAAAAAAATGCCAACTTAAAATAATATATATATATATATATATATATATAAAGAAAATTTTAATATATTGTTTAAAATTGTACAATAAAAAAATATTTTAATGATTTATATATATATATATATATATATAATTTTAATATATTGTTTAAAATTGGACAATAAGAAAATATTTTAAGGATTGGAATGGTAGTTTTGTATAAGCTTTGTGTTCGAGATAAGAGATTCAAATTAACATACCTATTTTTATTTAAAAAAATATTTAAATAATTTTATACACTCCACAATGGTACAATATTGTCCACTTTGATTGTGAGCTCTCGTGATGTTGCTTTGGGCTTTTAAAATTTAAAAATTTTTAAAAATTTAATGAAACTTTTAATGATGATGGAAAGTTAATGAAACTTTTAAAAATTTAAAAATATTTTTAAAATAAAATAATAAAAATATTTTTTAAAATTTAAAATATTAATGAAATATTTAAAAGTTTGTAAGAATATTTTAAAAATAAATTAGAAAATTGAGGAAATTTTTTGTTTAATTTAGAATAAGAATATTTTTTTAAAGACAAGGAAATAAAAATAAATCCAGGAGAAATGACCTTTAGAAGAAAGCCGGATGAGGACTGACTGCCAAAAACTCGATGCCGTCAAAGCGGCAGTGAAATTTGGAGGCATGGTTCCTTCTTCTTTCCCCTTTTCTATTCTCAACCTCACCCATTTCTTCATCTTCTTCTTCAATTCATCCTCTCTGTGAATCCCTTTCGCCATGTTCAGGCTCTGGAAATGGTATCAGAACTGTCTCACCTTCCATCCGGTGAAAACCCAAGTCATCAGCTCCGGCTTTTTATGGGGCACTGGCGACATTGCCGCCCAATATATTACTCAATCCGCCGCCAAAAACCGTCTTCTTCAAACTTATGTGAGCATCAATCCCTTCGTTTTCTGTTTGTTTCTTACTGTAATTTAATGAGGTTATCTTTCTTGATTCCTTCTTTGAGCTGGTGGATTCTCTTTAATTCATCGGAATTTTCTTGTTCGCATGAATTTCTCTTGTTCTTGGCTTGTTTTCGGCTTGATTTGAGTTGAAGAGATGGACTATTTCGTTTTCTTGTTTTTGCTATCAGATGATGGCGCATTTGCTATTTCGCCGTTTGATTCTCAGTCGAAGCTTTTAGCGATTCTTTAGTTTTGATCGAGATTCCGCTCGTATAGAGTTTGAAATTGCCTCAAGTTTCGGGGATCTCTGCTTTGTAGAATCAATCAGCCAAAAGTACAAGGGTTTTCGGTCATGTGTATGTTGATTCTGTATCTTGATTGCATCCCCAGGTCAATGGTCTTTTCATACCTTCAGTGCATTATGAAGTCTCCTTATTAATTGAAATTGGGCTTTGCATGTCTAAATCTCTATGAAGGATACTTGTTCTCAGTTTTTTGACAATTTTTTATAGTAGAATTTATGCGTACAATGTAGATTCTTCCAGTATTAGAGACTTTAGGGGAGTTTGGTATAGATTTTGGAATAGTGAAAAATGTATCTAGCCAATTCAAGACATTGTTCATGTTTGTTTGTGGCGGTGTTTGGTCATATTGGATACTCTAAAAAACACTTAAAAGTACCAAAAAACCACTCTTCTTCATAGTTTGTTTGAAATTGCTTTCAACTTTGGAGACTACTTTTTACATTAGAAATCCCAGAGCATGTGTGAGATCCCATATTGGTTGGGGAAGGGAACGAAACATTTCTTATAAGGGTGTGGAAACCTCTTCCTAACAGACGCGTTTTAAAATCGTGAGGCTGGCGGCGATACGTAATGGGCTAAAGCGGACAATATCGGCTAACGGTGGGTTTGGGTTGTTACAGCATGTGTCTGAATTAATTTATGTTTCTGAAGACTTGGATTGTATATTGTTGAATTATCCCTATTGGTGGAACCTCCATAAGCTCAAGCTTTTGTAGACCCATCATATAACAGTTTCTGAATTGTCAATTTCCTTGTTATTTCACTACCTTCTTGCCTACTCCTAGTTCAGATTTGGCATGATTATCTGTTTACTCTCAAATTTCAAACATTGCGATGTGTAAGTGAACCTGATATGCTGCTTTTCCGACCATACGGGGGTGATGATATGTGTTGTGTCGAGATACTTTGTTTGGTTGTTCCAGTTCAGACATTTAGCACGGACTGCAGTTCGCAGCTCTAAATTTGTAGTTAGGTTTTGTTAATCAGTGGGATCACTTGATAGATCATAAACCAGTCATCTATTTATTGGTTTATTTTCCTTTATTTTTTGCTTTTTTATTTCACCTCAGTCGTCTATGGTTTTCCTTTGAAGTTGTTGCGTGCCATGTGATGCTCTTCCTTCATTCTTTAATCTGAGTAACTTCTTGAACAGAGATTACGTATATATTATAACTGAACTGATTCCTACAATTATTGTTTTATGTAGCCAGATGCTGAAGAAGAGTTCAAAATCAACTGGAAACGTGTCGGTATCACAAGCATGTTTGGATTTGGCTTTGTTGGACCAGTCGGCCACATGTGGTTTGTTTCATTTATCTTTTCCCTATCCACTTTTTTCCATATCTATCATCTTTGTTACCAAATGGGAAGTGCCATCAGTATTGCTTGAATCATGATTTTTTTGACAAAAATTGAAATGCTTTATCTAACGACATCCTCATTTATAAGAATAAGCTACTATTATTCTGAACTTTGAGTTTGGTCCGGACATTTCTTTATCTTGGCATATATGTACCGTTGTTCAGAATCGGGTTTCGAGGCCACAAGATATGTAGAAGATTTGAACTAAGCTTGCTGATGAAAATTGGTTTGTCTAATTCAATCTCCGTTGTTCTCTATATAAGAGAAACAACTGGATAAGAGTCAATATTCACACCTTAAAACAATTAACAGCACGACGTTGTTCTCTAATTTAGATTCTTCTGTTGAGTGCAATAGTCAAGAGAAAATCGTCGGTTTAGACCTTTTTAGTATCATACCATTGCAAAATGTATTGAATTAATCGAAAATATTACGATTGCTCATAGAGTTATCTTAATAAGTCAACTTTTAAATGGATGATGTACCTAAGTTTCTTAATATTAAATACATTCTTATTATTTGGTTAGATTTCGTTCCATCTCTGGTTTTGATAATTTTGGATCCATGAAGTTTGGGTAGGATAGTCTGAAGCTGTATAGCTTGTCTGTGGCATGTACAAGATAATAGATTTTGAAGACACAAGTTTATTTAACATAAGAGTTTGGTTTGTCAATTTCTAATTTGTAAAAGTTAGCCGCTTGAATTTACGTTACCATTGGGTTGTGAGATCCCACATTAATTGGAGAGAGGAAAGAGTGCGAGCGAGGACGAGGTGGATTGTGAGATCTCACGTCAGTTGGAGAGGAGAGTGAAACATTCTTTATAAGGGTGTGGAAACCTCTCCCTAGCAGACACGTTTTAAAAACCTTGAGGGAAAGCTCGAAAGGGAAAGTCCAAAGAGGACAATATCTGCTAGCGGTGGGCTTGGGCCGCTACACTTATATTTTAAGAGAAGTAAGTTCATTTACCAAGTGTAGGTTTGACTTATTAATGTCGGGACAAACATAACGTGCACCGTTTGTTAACGTCGGGGATGCATTAACTTAACTCATGAGCTAAATGCCACTGCTAAAAAGTTGCCTCAGGTTGTAAAGTGCTATTTTCCATGGGAATGATTGAAATACTTGTCCATTATATTTGTACACAGATTTGTAAGAAATCTGATCCTTTGGCAGGTATGAAGGCTTGGACAGGTTTATAAGGCTAAGACTTCATCTCCAGCCAAAATCAGCCAAGTTTGTAGGGGCAAAACTGGCAATGGATGGTCTAATCTTCGGACCGATCGACTTAGTCGTCTTCTTCAGTTATATGGGACTTGCCAACGGCAAAGAAGTTTCTGAAGTGAAAGAAGACTTGAAGAGGGATTTCGTCCCGGCGTTTCTCTTGTCGGGTACGGTGTGGCCTATCATTCAGGTCGCAAACTTCCGATACGTCCCGGTGAGGTACCAACTCCTTTATGTTAACTTGTTCTGCTTGTTGGACAGTGCTTTTTTGTCATGGGTTGAGCAACAAAACAATGCTCCTTGGAAGCAATGGTTTACTTCTTTTAATCCTTTTAAAGAACGATGAGAAACTTTGAGAGCCATCTTCTCAGTCTTGTAAGCCTTCTTTTTCTTTCAATTCATCACATTGGACAGAGGAAAGCTGAATTGTTCCCTTTATAGACTGTAAAGATATTATAACCGACTTTTGTGCAATCTGTATGTGTTTCAATCAATCTATCATGTGCCCTCTTCTAATGAAATATTATATAGCCCATACATTGGCCTGTGAATTACCAACTTTGACCCTGTATTTCTTTAAAGGTTCGCACATTTATGTTCTATTTTAGTCTTTCTAATTATTATTATTGTTGTTATTAAATTATTATTTTTTTAAATAACTTTTAATTTTAGGATTCATTCAAAGCAGAGGGTCAAAATGGTATATTAACCTATAATTCTTCATTTTATTTTTATATTTTTAAAATTCAATTTTAATTCCTATGTTTATGTAAAGTTTTGTAAAATAATGGAAGAAGGGTGATTTTTTTGTAATTAAAATTTGATTAAATTAATAAAAATACTTCTAAATTTTATATTTGGTCTAAAAAAATATATTCTTAAATTTTTAAAATTTTTAAATTTTTTAATAATACTCTGAATTTTAAAACTTTATACAAACTTCTGTTAACTCTTAATCAAGTGATCGATGAAATTTATTTGAGAGGGGGGCTTCTCTTCACCAACGTAGACTAAAAGTTCTCTTCGAACCATGCTGGATAGTCTCCCATCACACGGCTCTCAAACCCAACCTGTGGTGAATCCCGGGAGACAAAGTCAGAGCGCTTGGACTCAACCAAAAACCTTCCCCTCAACCGATGTTCCCTTCCCTGATTTCACTGTAAACAAGGTGTGTCTCGAATCTCCCCCCCTCCCCTCCTCGAGTATATGCTTCAACAGGAATTAAACAAGGGTAGATTGATACAATAGAAACCTCTGGTAAAATGCCCACCCGTAACCCAGTAGATAAAGTATATTACATAGTCCGTTTTAGGGATTGGCGACTTACCCATTTAGTGAGTTTGGCACTGGACGTTCCAAAAATAGGGTACTATCGTGTCGAGTGAATTCAATAATAGACGTCTGTTGGCATTCCAGCCTTCCTTCTCCTTTCAGAGCTTACCCAAAAGAGAATCTAGTGTTTCTTGATCGTTTCTTTTTCTTTTACCTATTTAACTGATTTCACTGTAAACAAGAAAATAGATCGTTATTCAATCCTGAACCTGATTGGACAAGGAAAGACTCAACATTATTTTGTATTTAATAAGATTAAGAACATTAAAACGTGTCTATAATATCCTCTGAGAATTAAAGAAAGATGTAAAATATTTCTTTTTTTTTAATTTAGAAATCTATAATTATTCAAAAACTTTAAAGGATATAATAACATTACTTCAAAAGAAAAAAAAAATCCAAACATACCTCGTCATTATTCTGAAAAAGAATAAAAAAAAAAAAAAAAAAAAAAAAGAATAAT